GTATCTTAAGTATAGTCATTAAATATAGTTTAGGGAGATTTATGTTCAGATATTGCTTAAAGATGTTTTAATAGGCCCATTTACTCTGATGATATTAATGAGCTCTTAATACAGACGAAGCTTCTAAAACTAGTGGTAAAGACTCCGACCCGAGCACAACAGCTTGGAATCAGTGCCTGGTCTGCACAAGAGCCCCCAGGCTGGCCCTGCGGACACTGCAGGCTTCGTGTGAGCCCCTCTGGCGAGCCCCGAGTTTCAGAGCAGGGTCTCCTCTGACTTGGGCTGGCTGCTGACCCCAGAAGGCTCCGTTTTTCTGCAAGACTGGAGACAGTCCTTTTTCTCCCCTGAAACAATGCACGTGTGCTAATTTGGCCAAATTGTACATCTCCAAGGTCATTTGAGCGGCACTGATGCTCTCGGCAGTGTCACGGGGGCACGAGAGGGTTAAAGGAGGCTGTCGCTGTGCTGCTTGTGCGAGCATCTGCCAGGTAAGGTGTGCGCAGCCTGGCATCGTTACGTGAACAGCTTTGCTCTGCCACGAGTGAACTGTAAAAGGTCACAAGGGTGTGCTTTCACCTTTCAGGCATTTGTGGCGACTGAGATATACGTAATAACATGGTCCTGCTCATTCAAAGTGGGAAAGAAAAAGTGCAGCCCAACAGGAATCTCTGTGCGCCCCGAGCATCACACGGTCCTTCCCTAGGCCCCATTTTTAAACATGTCGCAAAAAATCTCCATGTCGGTATTTCCTTTGCTTTCAGAGAAATATTGAAAAGCACATTTTTTTTTTGTTTCAATTATTTTAAGGGAGAGAAAAAAAAAAGAACGTATGAGTTCAGAGACTTTTCTAATTACTAAATTGGTTTGTTATAAAAAGATAATAGCAAATTTCTTCTTTTCATAATTGGACATTTCTTCCCTGTAGGCTAATGCACGCACAGCCCGTGCATGCACAATAAGTTGTGCTTTTGAAAAGCCATAACTAGCTAATAACAGCTACAGTGTCATCAGAGAGTAATGGCGTGCTGATTAGCATAATTAATGACAAATGGTGGTGCGGAATTGGTGGATCGGTTTATCGGATGATGAATGCGGCACGGCCTGGGCCGGGGCTGCCAACTAGGCCTCGCTGGCTGTCAGCCCTTCTGTTCTCGCCGAGGCAGCCCTCATTACTCACGATGGGAGGTGCCAGTTTGTATTCTGTTTGGAGCACAGAAAACTTAATAATCCAAGCAAATGTGGCTTTCCCTTTTTTCTCTGTGTTTACTCACGAAAAACCTTTTCTCGCTCCTTCCCATTTGTGGCCGAACCGTGAGGACACAGCTATTTTGGGATGCTCCCACAGTGCTTCCAGGGGAAACAAAAGGTGGCGTAAGAGACACGTGGATGGCAGTGCTTTCCTCTGACCACAGGTGAACTGCCCCCGCTAGGAAGACTTCTGCTCTGTGGACTCCGTTTATCTGACTATTTGGAAGAGGAAAGAGATGAACTCAATAAGCTATATGTTCTGTCCTGAAATAAGACCAGCACATTTATCTTTGACTTGATTAATCAAGACCTAATTTGCATCCTCAAATGAGACTGATAAAAATGAATTTACCTTTTAACCTTTAGAGGAGGAAAAGTGTTTCTCTGCAAGATTTCTGGGGCTATCTTTCCTTAACCGATAAGAAGCAACTCCTTTATCAATAAAGATGAAAATCCTTAATTTGCATTAGTGAATGAGACTAATTATTATATAGTTAATTAGCATCTGGAAATGAGGATTATCTTAATTACAAAGCACAATTTCCCTAATAGCTACAAAACTGTAAGTTTGATCTGTGTGGAAATTGGTAACTATTATTATGTAATTAGTAATAACATTAATAGTACAGAGAATTTAGGCATAATTTGCATATGCAAATGTAATTTACCCGAACGAAACAAGTGGACCATTAATGATTCGAGCATGATAGAGCCAACTGAAAGTTCTAGACAGCTGAACGGTATCCATTATGCCGAGTAGCTAAATTATTAAGCGGTAGAGTAGATAAGGATGTTTTTATTTGGGTGGTCAGAGTGGTTTTTGTTTTAAGAAGAATTAGTAGCTGGAAGGTTAATAATGAAGCTAGTGCCTGGGGAAATAGCTGGCCACAGGGTCACCGCCTTGATTTCCCCATGCTTCCCAACATCCCTTGAATCTTAGCTGGGCGTTCCTTGCGTGTTTTAACATTTCTGAATATTGGATATGTCTTACAATTGATGTCTACTGTTCAAGCAGTTATACACACACAAGCACAGCGAATTAGGAAATCAGTGGTGCAGCTTACAGTTCTTGGGGGAAAATTCAGAGCTTTCTGAGTTTTATCTGTATGGCCCTATCTCTTCGGAGCTGCCCCTTTATAAACTACCTCTCCTCTGGTACCTATCCACTCCCTCCTTCAGGCTGTAGCAGCATTTCCCAAAACGTGGGGCGTGTACCCCTGAGGGAAAGAGAGATGTGGATGGCCTTCTTAATTTTTTATTTCACCCATAATAGTGTATCAGTGGATAGCATTGTTTAGGATAAGATTAAAGTGGGTATATTAATCAGGCTTTGCTGTGTTATGCTGCAGTGACAAACCACGGTGGCTAACACCACCACCATTTTGTACGGCACTCAAGTTCTGAGTTGGTGACTGCAGATTGATGGGGTCCCGCTCCATGCATCGTCTCGTTCTGGGACCAGCCCCTATCTGCAACATGCCGTTCTTAGAGTAGAGGAGAGGAGCAAAAGACCTGGAAGAAACACTCAGTGGCTCCTAGAGCTTCTGGTCAAACATGGGAAGGCACTCAGCCCAGCCGACATCAGCATGCAGGGGTGCGTCCTCTTCCCCAGGAGACCCTGCCCTTCCCATGGCAGTGGGAGGTGGGAGCACATACCCAGGAATGGTAGTTTTGATATAGTGAGTTTTAAATAGTGAGTTTCAGAAAGAATTAAATTTAAAAATAATAAAAAAATAAAGGGTTTTTTAATTTTTAAAAATTTTAAAAAGTGAGTTTTCAGATGTAAAGAAAAATATGAAGTCAGTAATTATACTGGAAAAAAATAGATGAAGCTGGGACACGAGACACTGTTTCCTAAAATTTGGGAAACATTGTCTGTAGCTTATCTTCAACTCATCGGGAGCTTGAATTCTCCTGGGATGGTTAGGTACGAGCTCAGGATTCCACAGATGCTCCGGCGTGGTGGAAATAGCTCTGCTCTCTGAGGTTTAAGGCTCATTTTGACCACTTCCAAACTGGAGAAAGTTGTTGGCTTTCTCTAGGATTCCGTTTTCCCAGCTGCAAATGAAGCCGTTGGACCAGGTGGTCCTTCTTGCTGCTCTGCCCTCCCACCACCCCTTCTGAGCACCTGTTGAGAACCGGACACCTTGCAGGGCTGGTGGGACTCAGCAGTTCCTCTGAGAACCTAAAAAATAGTTTGTTGCTAGACAGAAAAGTTCATTGATAGGTTTTTCTTTATCAAAAACAGGCACAAAGTTTTCTAATTTATAAAAGTAACATGTTCATTGTAGAAAAGTGGGGAAATACATAAAATTACCCAGAGAAACAATATTTTAAGGTATATCTTTCAACTTTTTCCTATACCATGCATATTTATACATAAAAGTATATTTCTACCTAATTGTCCGTGCTGGTTTTTTGATCAGATTTATTGAGGTATTATTTACATACAGTAAAATTCACTCTCTTAATGTGTGCATTTCAATGAATTTTGACAAATGTCAAATTACATGCTAAATGTTATGTAACCACCACCAGAAGCGAGATAGGGAATTTTTCCATCACCCTAAAAAGCTCTCTTGTTCCTGTTTCCAGTCATTTTCCTCCCTCACCCCCAGTCCCTGCCAGTCCCTCGTGCGTTTCGTGTATCATCCGTGGAATCATACAGCGTGCACCTGCTGTCTGTGTCGCTCAGCACAGTGTTTCTGAGAGCCGTCCACGTTGTTCCATATAGCAGTAGCTCGCTCCTTTTTATTGCTGAGAATGCCCGTCCTGTTTTGAGACCTGGTCATGCTCCTTTCTCCTGGTTCATAGTCTTCCTCAGGGCAAACTGAATGGCTGCTTCACCTTCCTCTCGGTACAATGCACTTTCTCTACCCAGTCCCTATGACTGGGTGCTTACGCTGTTTTCACTTCTAAAAATGATGCTTTGGTTTAGGTATATCTTTCTGCCTTAGGGTAAGTGTGCATTTTTAAGCATTTTGATACATGATGACAAATTGCCCACCAAGCCGGCTGAATCCGTTTATACTCCCACGTGTGCGAAAGAATTTTTCTTCCCTGAAACCTTACTAACTGGCTACTATTTTCTGAAATCCTTATCCATTTGAAAGATGAGACGGCATCTTACTGTTAGTTTACATTTCCCTGTTTACTAGTGAGGGGCGCATTTCCCTCTGTGGCCTGGCCATCTGGATCCCTCCAGTGCTTTCCTGTTTATACTACAGCTTTTCTGTTCAAGTTCGGCTTGTGCTTATTGGGCCGTAGCAGCTCCTTACGGAACAAGGCCCTTTCTTGCTCTTGTGTTACTACTGCTTTTTTCCAGTTTGTGGTTTGTCCTTTGAGTTTTGTGCCTTTGCTATTGCATTTTAGCAAGACCTTCTCTATCTCATGGTATATTCTGGTATCTCCCTTTTTTTTTTTTACATTTAAATCTAAAATTCATCTGTAATTTATTTTAATGTATGGCATAAGGATCTATGTTTTCCCAAATTATTTATCATTGTCCCAGCATTACTTATTAAATAAGCTTTCTTTTCAAATGAGTTCATAACAAAAATCTTCTATCAACCTCCTATTACCTACTGTGATATATTTTGTGGCTTGTGCCCTGTTCCATTGATTTGAATGCGTCTTCTCATGGGAGGATCACATTTTTAATTATTGTAAATGTATATGTTTGATATCCTGTCTCATTATTCTTTGTAGTTGTTTTTCAAAATATTCCTGGTAATTCTAGCTCAATTTTTTTTTTTAGTATGGAATGCTCCATGAATTTTCGTGCCCTCCTTGTGCGGGGTCATGCTAACCTCTGTATCTTTACAATTTTAGTATGTGTGCTGCCGAGACGAGCGCCTGAGCTCAATTTTTTTACCCAGTTGAAATTTAGTATCACTTCAAGTTCCAAGGAGAATCCTTTCAAAGTTTTGATTGAGAAAATATTGAAGTTATAAATTAATTTGGGGAGAGTGGTCGTTTTTAAAGTACTTGATCTTTCCTTCTAGAAAAAAGGCAGTATGACTGCGTTTATTGAAATCTTCCTTTATATCATTCAGTAAAGTATTATAGTTTACTTTCTGTTTATCTAATTCCTAGGTTTTAAATGTTTTCGTTGTTGCTTTGCCCATTATGTTTTAACTGGGCATTGCTTATATATATTTACAAGAATACTGCTGGTTTTTGAATATTCATTTTGTAGCTGGCCACCTTGCTTGTTTATTCCTGGTAGCTTCCAACTGATTTCCTTGAGTTTTCTCGATAGATAGCAACATCATCTTGCAAATATGATCTTGGCTCTTTGATAACATTTATACCTCATTTCTTTTTCTTGCTTTGTATCATTGGCCAGAACATCCAAAGCAGCAAATGACAGTAGCAATAGCTTGCGAAAGTTCTCTCTGGTTCCTGACTTCAATGGGGCTGTTTCTAGTCTTGCTACTCAGGTCTGAGAGAGGCTGGTAATCGAGAAGAGAGTTTGATCATGTTAAAGGAGCCATTCTTCTATTGCTGTTTTCCTGGGAGTTGTGTTTTTTGTTTTTTTTTAAAATTCGGGCACTAATTTCAATTTCATATAAAAGTAACTTCAGAATCTATCAATAACACAATATCGTATTTTTTCTCATTTAATTTATCGATACTAATCAATTTTTATTTTGATGATTTAGCATTTAGAAAATTATAGTTATGTTTCTGAAATAAATCCTGCTTTATTTTGGGGCATTATTCTTTACATATAGTACTAGATTTGAGCTGCTGTTATTTAAGTTAGGATTTTGGTATTTCTATAAATGAGATTGGGCTTAATGCTTATCAAGATATTTTTGAGTGATCTGAGAATCAAGAGGTTTTTTCTTTCAAATATAAGAATATTTTTAAAATACTGTACTATCTTTTTGTTGGGGGGAAGAAGGAAAATGAAAGAAAGTTCCCTTAAGAAATAAATGGACCTGAAAGCATCTGGGGAGTGAGTGGTGTTTTGGGAGGCAAGGACAATGATTTGAATTTCTTTCACAATTGTGAATTTTTTTTTCAGGCTTTCTGCTCTTTCTTGAGTCAGTTTTGTTATTTATATTTTCTTTCAAAGAGAAATCAGCTCTTTCATATAAATTTTAAAGTTTAGTGGTATAAAATTGTGCCTAAGAGCTTATTTTGATTTTAAAATTAATATACATGTGGTCATATTTATCCCTCATGTTATTTTTTTTCCTCTCTTTTTCTTGGTTATCCATGCTAAGGACTTATTTGTTTTATTTATTGTTTTAAATAACTAGTTTTTAATTTATTTTTCAAGGCATTAGGCTTTTGCCTTATATTTCATTATTTAATTTTATCTTTAGCTCCTTTTTCTGCTTTCTTTTGGCTTATTTTGGTTTTTGTAGCTTCTTGGGTTGAATGGTCACCTCATTTGTTTTCACTTCTTTTTGATTTTTAATACAAGTATTTAAAGCTATGGTAATATTTTTGTGTATTTGCTGGTATTCTGGTGTATAGTACTCATATTTATAAATATATAATTTAATTTTGATTGCCTCTGACTCAAGTGTTAGAAAATACTTTTTTCAGAGTGATTCAGATTTTGTTTAACCTTTTCGTATTAATTTCTAATTTTTTTTGCAAGGTGGTCAGAGAATGTAGCCTGTCTAATTTTTTTTTTTCACAGATATTTAGTCTTTCTTTGTCCTCCTCTGCGTGATTAGTTTTAGTAAATGACACTTGAAAATGTGTCTTCTTTCTATAAGGCACTGTGTTTGAGATAGACACACACACACACACACACTGCCATTCTCTGATCAGATAGGATGGATGGTACATCCATGTCCACGTCCATGTGTACGTCCATCCATCCTACTTGATCAAAGAACGGTAGTGTTTTAGTGTTTCGTAGATTTCTTTGTTGTCATTATCATTTTTGAGCATTGGTGGTATTTTGTACGTTTCAATGTAATGTTATTCATGCCATGAAGGTTTATGACTGTGTATTTTACTCTTCATTAAAATAAAATTCCCCCTTTTTGTTCCGTTTTGGGTTTCTGGCCCTAAGTTCTATAATGTTCTTGTCCTGCGTTGCTCTCAGGCCTCTACCAAGGCCGTGGCCGTGGCCGGGCAGTGGCTTCGTGTCCCCCTCTGCTCCGGCAGGTCAGCCTCCTCCTCGGGCCTTTACTCTGGTCTCCCTCCTGCCCCAGGAGCCTTCCTGTTCCCCGTCCACATCCTGACCAGTCTCCCACCTGCACCCCAGCCCTGCTTTTCCCAGCAGCCAGGCCCAGTGACTCCCTTTCTCCCCTGGTTCCTTCCATGGGCACCTCCAGCCGCCTTTGTGCCCCGAGTGTGAGCACACATCTCTCGGGTCCCCTCCACGTGCACGTCAGCTGCCCTGGGTCAGCTTCCTCCTCCTCGTGGGCAGAGCTCTGCATTCAGAGGCCCACAGCCCAGCACTTGGGACCAAGTCCAGCCCTGCTCCGTCTTCTTTGCCACATAGTTTCCTTGTTATTAAAGGGGCTGGTTGCTGCTACTAGACTATTCTGTTCTTAGAGTTCATCATGGAACACCAACCAGTTCATTTTTTTTTTAATTATTTCAAGAGCCTTAGTCCAAAACTGTGATTGTTGGAAGTTCTGTTTGAAACCCTTCCCACATTCCCCGGTGATGCTCCAGGGACGCGCACGAGAACACGGGCAGCATGGTGCAGAGAGGGAGTGGGGCCCTGCAGACCACCGCCTCCCAGGCTGGCGCCGTCCAGGAACTCACAGACCCTGCCCTTCAGGCTCTGTGTCCTCCTGTCTATGCAGGGCTCCCCACACCCATCCCACACGGGGCCGGGGCTGTGAGAAGTCAGCGAGGCTGTTCACCCGTTCAGTGCCCAGTTCCCGAGAAACTGTTGTGTGCCCAGCCCAGGGGCCCACTCTGGTTGATAACTCACAGAGAGCCTGGGGACAGCGGGGGGCTGCTTGGAGCACACACCAGTTTGCTGTGACCCGCCGCCATAAACACTCAGGTGCCAACTGTGGAAATGAGGCGTGCTCTTCAGTCCCTTGAGGTGGGTCCCTGGAGAAGGCTCGGTGGCCGTGGGCACAGAGCGCAGCCGTCCACAGGGCGATCCTGGCAGATGGGGCCGGGCCACAGAGGTCCACGGGCCCTCTCCCTCTCAGGCTGTGGGTCTGGGGGACAGCGACAGCCTCCCTGGTTTCCTGTCGTTACTGTGGTTTCGGATGAGAGTGAATAAGCCCACAGCACCTCCTTGCTAAGGCTCATTTCCAGAGGAAGGCAGAGAGTCATTCTTCATGGTTAAAAGTAAGGACAGCCTGTAATTTGGGCAAATTTAGCCACTTCCTATGTTTCGTGCCCAGAGACCTGGGATATTTCTGAACCTGGAAGGGCTGGTCTGGGCCCAATAAGCCCTGAGTCCCATGGGCAGCTGTGCTGGCCGGGGTGACTGTTGTGTCATTACCTGCAATGAGAAGGACTGGCTTCTGTCCTCTCTTGACCAGCCTTGCTGTGGAGGAGCAAGTGACACGCGTGTCTTTTTGGTTTCAGGAATGATAGTCAGTGCTTATTGAGCGAAATCACTTTATGTATGAACTTATTTAATCCTCACGACCACCCTGGGAAACATGGAGTACTATGAGTGAGGAACTGAGGTTCACAGAGGTTAAGTGAGTTTCCCAAGGACACACAGTAAATCACGACAGTGCCCCCTGGGTGCCTTCTACAGAGTTCTCTCATAGCCTTTCACACTCTTCTGCTCTTGGTTTTAAGTTTCTTTCTCATTTCCTAGACTGTACACTCCATGAGGGAAGCGCTTGGCCTTCTCAATATTTGTACCCCCAACCTCCTGAGATGCAGCATCAGAGTTGACTGTGAGGGCTCTGCAGTCAAGTTCATGTCACCATCCGGTCTCCCTTCTGGCTGACAGCCTGTGCCCGGGCCTCAGTGGTGGTGGCTGCAGAGAAGCAGGGCAGGAAGGCTCAGTGGGTCATGAGCACTGCTGGTTCCCTGTTGTGAGAGCAGAGACCCCGGGCCTCCCCGGGAAGGAAGGCCCGGTACCCCGGGGAGCAGTGCGCAGATTCCGTGTCCTCTCGTTAGGAGCCTAACTGATGGCCGGCTGAGCCTGCAGATCTGTCCCGGGACCGGTGGACGCTCCCGCTGGCTCCCAGAGCAGCCCGGGAAGCCAGCCCCACCGGGCGGCACAGATGGCAAGCCGGAACGACAGGGTAAACGGCAATATGTCTTGGAGACATTGTCAGCCTGCAGCTTATTTGTCATGTCGCCACAGCCTCGTGGCTCAGGGACGCCCTCCCTCCCTGCCCTGCCCCCTCCCTGCGTGAGGATTATTTACAGGAAACTGCTTTTCCTAGGATTGGGGGGAGGGCACAGAGACGGAGGGGTTCCAGAACAGACGTTGGTCGTTTTCTTTCTGTTTGGGAAGTGAGGAATAATAACAATGACAAACACCCACCTAGCATTTATAGAGTGTCAGCTCTTGTTCTCAATATTCTACCCAAATCATCCCTGCTGCTCTCATAACAACCCTAAGAGGTGTAGATATCATTAGTCTCAGCTTACAGATGCAGACACAAAGGCACAGAGAGCTAGTTAACTTACCCACAGTCACACAGCTCGAGCAGGCTGGGCCGGCATCCATTCTTGACCTCCAGCCTCTACTGTCCAGTGTGTGCTAGAGGCTGAAAGGCACTTGCCTCTTGCTCGGGGCCAGCACCCATGCAGGAGAGGTGGCACCTGAGATTAAGGCCTCTAGGGAAGCTGTGGGATCCCAGGGACGTCCTGCGGGCCCTGTGGGTATAGAGTAGCTGCTCCCCTCAGCCGGAAACGGGCGTGTGGACTGTCTGGCCTTCCAGTGA